ACCTCTGATCCAAGGGGTTTCACACTAATCCCCAAATGTTTTTCTCCTCCAGATGTTACAACTGGCTCTCAAAGTGGGGATTCTCTCTTATGGGGGATGCCTGGTCACTCAAGGGAAGTTAACTGGTGGAGCACTTGTTACCTTTGTCCTGCAGGAGACTGAGCTTTCCACAGTGGTGCGGGTAAGTTTTGTGACTGGCCCAGCACTCCGGGGGGGGGGGGGCAGAAACATCTGCCTGGAAGCCTAGAGAGGAGTGAAGACCCTTCCTCAAAATGTTCCCCTCATCTCACAGTGCCTGTTTCCTGGGTCTCCTAGGTCCTCCTTTCTTCTTACCCCTCCGTACAAAAAGCCGTGGGTTCATCAGAAAAAGCTTTTGAGTATATGGACCGGACACCTCAAATCAAGCCCTCAGGAACATTGGTGCCCACACATTTAGAAGGAAAAATGGAGCTTAAAGATGTTTCGTTCTCCTACCCCAACAATGGCAACTCTCTAGTGCTAAAGGTTAGTGGTGGGAACTGGATACTGAGAAGGGATCACGACGCCTTGGGTATGGTTCAAGAATAGAGATGAAAAGATGAAGACCCAAGATTGAGTCTCAGTCCTCCTGTGACCAGTTAACCCTGTTACTGAATAGCCCTGATTATCTGGGTTAAATCAATACACGAAACTACAAACTAGTCAAATGGGTTGAATTCACACAACTTACTAAGCCAAGGTTAAAGGTAACCAACTTTTCATCTTGTGTGTGTCATCTTGACTTGGACAAGGATGTTGTGTGAATGCAGCCAGAGGAAACCAAAATCTAGCTGAGGTCAGTATGTTCATCTTTAAGGAAGCTTTATTTTTACAGACCCTACAGACTTCCATATGGGTTTCAATGATTATCCCAGAAAGAAATATTGAGTCTGGCCGATACTTGAAAGGGAGAGAACTGGGAAAACTCAGAGCTGGAAAATTGACAAAGCATCCCATATTGTTGCCAAGATAATGATACAAATGCATCTATGAAATCATTATGATCTTGGCAACCATATCAATCAAATCATTGTGATTTTATAGATGCATTTGTATCGTTATCTTGGCAACAATATGGGATGCTTTGTCAATTTTCCAGCCCTGAGATTTCCTAGTGGTCCCCCATCCAAGCATTGGCCAGACCAAGCTTTTTGAGGTCAGCCAAGACAGGCTTAGGTCTAACTTGGCTTAATGGGATTTAGCTGCATTTAAATGGTCAGATATGTACAGTGTGCAGTCTGAGAGCACAAGGCCACTCCAAAACATTTTTAATGCCTTGGGAAGGCCACACTTGGAATATTACATCCAGTTTTGGTTGCCATAATGTAAAAAAAAATGTTGGGGCTCTAGAAAGAGTGCAGAGAAGAGCAACAAAGATGATTAGGGGACTGGAGACTAAAAGATATGAAGAAAGGTTGCAGGAACTGGGTATGTCTAGTTTAGTGAAAAGAAGGACTAGGTGTGACATGATAACAGTGTTTTAATATCTCGGGG